TCTGGGTTACCCAGAGGGGTAGTCTTGGCGGTAAAGAGGAACTGCAGGGCAGCCTGAGCATGGGCTCTGGGCAGCTGCAGCAAAAACGGCTCAGCAGCAGCGAGGTGGGGGGGTTGCTGCTTTTTCCGCAAGCCCAGCAGCAACTTCTGCCCTGGTGCTGCTGCTCATTGTGGCTGGTCCAGAGCAGATGCAGGGTCGGCCGGGGTTGGGGCTATGCACGTGGGTCCTGCGCTGGTCAGGAGCTGTTCCTCCCTGGCTGGGGCACATCCAGAGTGGGTGTGGATGGCTGGCCAGGGCTGGGGCTGTGTGCTCAGCTGCAAGTGGGCACTGGTGGTGGAGAGGCGCCACAGGGCCTGTGGGCTCTGGATTTGGCAAGCTGTTGCAGGGGTGGGGGTGCTGACTGGCCCTTGACAGCCCCCCAAAGCTGTCTATGTGACCCATTGGCCCAAATAATTGCCCACTACTGTTCTAGAAATTCTTTCCACTAACTTCATGCTATAGGAAGGACCCACTTCAAAATATGCTGCAAATTAACTTTTGCTTAAATGGATACAGGTGAAGGCATTTGCATGTGCGAGTGTGTGCATCTGCGGTTATTTTAATGTATTTTTAATTCATATAGGTGCAGATACATAGAACTAAATGTATGCTTGGATGAATACTGCAATCCAGTATTTACTCTAGACTTGTTCTTATTTGGATTAGTGATTGAGACACCAATTGCACACTAGTGAATTTTGTTAATTAGCAAGCAAGTGAAAAAGCAATTAATAAAAGTCAGGACATTGCATTACAAGATGTACTTTCCTCATTTATTGTGATAAGTGTCTCATTTTAATTATTTATGATCTTTCATAAAATGCTCTGTAGTACATTTTGTAAAATTAATGCTGTATTATTAACATTGACCTCACTACAGCACTCTGCTATTAAATCTTTGCTTGCTAGTGGAAAGTGACTGCCATTTTTGTCCAAATTATAAGGTGCACAAATTAAGTGACAGTACAGAGTGTCAAAGTCAAATAATGGGGCGTTGGCCCTGGCTCCAATAAATAGTTAGCTTTCTTTATTATGAGCTTTTTTCATATAATGAAAGTCCTTCAGGCAGGAACTGCATCTTCTTTTCTTTCTTAAATACATTGTTAGCAACAATAAATATTGATAATTAATAATAATGTCTCTTATTTTGTGATAATATTGTGTAGTTATCCCAACTCCCCAGGTTTATCTCCTGTTTTGGTAGCATTTCACTTTTCAAGCAGAACTTGGCCATTAATTAACACTGTGTTCTACACTGTGGGATATTTTGTCATAAGGCAACAACTTGGTTCTGTACCCAACCTGCACTACAGACCATATACTCTACATTTAAAAGAAAAAAATACTTGACCTAAACTCTGATCAAGGCTATCTCTTTCTGAGGATCTAAATAGGAACCTTTCACCTGAATACACAGTGGTTTTGAACAGTCATAATATGCACATAAAACATATCACTGCCTTTTATTTATACAGTCAGACCGACCTCTGTACCTGCATTTAACTAAATTTGATTCCATAAAAGGCTTTGGGATAGAGTAAGAAAGACAGATATTATAGAGAATAAAACTATATTGTTTTGTGCTTGCGTGACATAAAAAGCTACGGGGAATTCTAATTCCTAGAGTAAGTCCTTTGAAGTGCAGTTAGGAAAAACAGCCATAGTAGCTGATGAAAATCAGGATTACCATGGGCTGAGTAAAAGTATGGGTCAAATTATTCCATACAGTACAGCCACTGAAGGCGCAGTATTTATACAAGGAATTAATTTAGTTCAGTGAGTAGAATGTTCCTCAATAATTCTGATTTGCCTTTCATTCCTAGTGATTTCTTTAGAGGCAAACATTCTTGATAATGTCAGAATGTATCCTTCTAGTGAGTGAAAGGAGACAAAGCAAATGGATTGGAAAGAACCCTGAGAGATGATACTTTACGGCAGGAATGTTGAACATATGGCCTGTGAACCATTGTATCCAGTCCACCAGTAGTTCAGTGGGCTATCAGAAGTGCATACCCTTGGCTCCACACTGCTGCATACCCCAAGCACTGCGGCCTGGCCAGAGCTCTGCATGGCTGGGAAGCAACACGGGGTAGAGGGTGTATGGCTGCAAGAAGCCATGTTTGAGCTGCAGTGTGGACCTCTGGCCAGTCAGCAGTGCCAGGGCAAGTGACAGTGTGAAGCTGGAGGCATGTGGCTGCACAGAGCTGTGTTCAGGTGGAGGCACGGAGCCTGAGGGCTGCCACCCATAGTCATGTCCATGTCCATGCTGCTTCATGCCCCTGGCTCCAGCTCCATGCCGCTGCCCAAACATGACTCCATGTAGCTGTATGCCTTTGGCACTACAACCAGTCAGAGCTTTGCACTGTCACATGCCCCGGGCTCCTTGCTGACGTGTGCCCCTGGTTCCATGCTGCCCGAATGTGGCTCTGTGCAGCCCCTTGCTCCCAGACCCATGCTGCTGCCTGACCCATAACCCCACAGATCAGGCCTGGGAGGAGCCCCTGCAGTCTAGATCCAGCTTGGGGTCTGGGGCCCAGGGCAAGCTGACACCCCTGTTTTATGGATTGATACTTAGAAGTGTTCTCAATGTATCCTGATTAGTTTTTTCCAGCCTCCCCATCTAGGTGATGGCTCTGGCCAATAGGTGACTGCACAGATTAACCTCATTTTACATGGATTCTATTAGCTTGGGAGCAGGAAATCATATCTGCCCTCTAAATCTACATCTTCCACTAAACACTGCAGCATGCTACTGGCAAACTGCTAAGTTAACTGAGGAGACAATAACTGTTAGATAAATCTCACTTTTGAATTAAAACTAAAAAGAAAAGGGTTAATGAAAGCAGAGGATAAGAGCAATTTTAGGGAAGGTTAAGAGAAAAAGTTACAATGAAACTGCTTAAAAACTAGCAGCTAAAAATATCCACTTTAAACTAGAATGTCAATTCACTGTTAATAGAGCCACTGCATTTAGAAAACTCATCTCTGAACTTCTGAAGCTACACAAAAGACTTCACGAGCTCTTTCTTTCTTAACAGCTTCTGACAAAAGCTTTTCACAGTGACAAAACTGAATCCTGCTGATGAATGAAACTTGCAAGAGTCATTTTTTCCTCATCACAACAATATAATTAAACCATTGCAATCTGAGACTAGAAAAACATGAATATGGAAAAAGATTGTAGGTGACAGAACTAAAAGGGTTGGTTTAGGTTTGTTTTGCTTGTAATGTGTGTGTGGGACAAGCAATTTCCTTTTCAATGTCTATGTCAAGTCCTTTATATATATGCAATAGCTTAATTTACTTGCATTTTTCAGCTTCTTCTTTTAATTTAATCTTGACTTTGCTTTCCCCTTAGTTTCTGGCCATTAAAATAGTTTGCTATGGCTACACCAACAATAAACCCAATCTATACCACTCAGTAATTAAAACTATATTTCTTATATTTTATATCTGCAAGAAAGTTACCACGTCCCTGAGTGACTAATAGGAAACATTACAGAATGTGCCACCACATCTGCACTGAGCAAAAATGACAGATACCAATTATTTTCTACTTGGCCTTGCAGTCCGCTCCTGCATTCTGAAAATGGAACTCGCCTTCAGTATTGCAATGCCTGAAGCCCTGAAATTACTGGAAGTGGTAGCAGGGTTTCCATTACAAACCCACCTTTTGGACATTTAATAACATAGCTACACTGCATTTATTCCAGGCTGAAACATGACACCCTTCTCTTTAGCTGGGGAGCGTGTCTTAAAAATCCTATTTTTGAAAGTCATTATTTTGGGCAGAACCATTTCAACTTGAAAGAAAATTATTTTGAAGACATCTTGGTTTATTAACATCTTCATTTAGGTAACCAGATTACTACTTTGAGCATTTTACGTAAATACCATTAGCATAAAAAGACCATATTCAGTTTGAAAGCAGGGTAGATTTGCTCCTTATAAGGGGCAAATCTACCCTCCCTTCTGCATGACTTCAGATTACCTCTCTCTGCTTATTCAGGTTGATATTTTATGGTATTCAGGCAGCAATACAGATTGTCTCTTCTGTTTAACTTGTGACTTTCCTGTTAGACTTTCAGTTGCTGGCATAAATGGGGGGACAGAACGGTGCATAAAATCAGGCAAGTATGGATGAGTAATGAGAACACTGAATTTTATGCCAACACACATACCCATTCATAAGTCATCCGAACATGTGACTTATTTCACAATGAGAAAAGTTTTAGCTCCATTGAAATCAGTGGGAGGTCAGCTATTGACTTTAGAATGACCAGAATTTCACTCAGGGTCTCGCTGGCCATCAAAGCATTACAAGGATAATGTTCAAGTCAAAGTTAACGGTTCTTGAATGATTTTTTTCAACAAAACTAAATTGACTCTATTAACACTCAGGCATGCAGCCTTCCTCTTCTAACTTCCCTTGGCATGAATTATGGCAGTAAATCATCAAAAGTGACAACATCAAGAACATCAATAGAATCAGGCTATTATGAAACTTACTCTTCCAAATCATACACTGAAATCAGTTAGCATCTAGGCAGTGCACACAGGGGACTACTATGTACATGAAGCTGTCCATGCAGTGAAAAAAGAAATTCCTGGGTATAGATTTGATTGTGATTCCCCAGTTGCTATCTCCATGTTGACGGAGGAAAGATCAGGTTTTTGGCTGTCACTGGGAACTAATGTATCTGTCCTGCCTCAAAGGGGATCTGAGTGAACACACCAAGCAAATACAGAACTTGTATAGAAAAATCATTCATTGTCTCTGTGGATTTGTGCTCAAAGATGAATATTTGCACCATCCACATTTCAAACACTGAAGTAGAGGCAAATGGATTTGGGGAGCTTCATGAAAATGTATTGCTCAAAATAAATGTGTTGCTTTCCCACATTAGAGATATACTCCACAGAGCCCCATGGTTCTTGCTTAATCATAAAATACAACATACCTGTAAGACCAGCAGCTTCTGCTGACAGGAAGGCGCTCCAAGACAAGAGGAAAAACAGGCCTGTTTCCAACATGGGGAATTCGCACAACTTGGTAAATTTTGTCAAGTGCTACAAATTTACTAAGGAAACATAAAAGGCAGTCACTTGTCAGGCTAAAAATGTCCCCCTCCCCCACCCTCCAAAAGGAAAAAATTAAGGCTAAAAAAAGAATTCCTACCCAAGTAATTACCAATGCAATATGTACCCAGTGGAAACTTTATAAAACTATCAAGCTATATCATACAGAGGTTATGTTCCAGCATAACTCTTAAGCATTTGTGACTTCAGTGGTCTTAAGATTACACATATTCTTCAGTGCTGTGCTGGATCAGTGTCTAAGTGATCACATTTCACCTTAATATTCCAGCTCTAGACTAGTTCTGATATCCACTTCCATTTATGGCTGCCTTTGAAATGTGCATATGCCATGTGGCATCAAAGAAAACATGGCTATGAAAAGGTGAAATGGCAAATTATATGTTCAAAAATTTAAAGGCCCCAGGGTTCTATTATCTCTGTCAAATCAAAAGGTCATCTCTAGTGCTGTGCCTTTAAATAAAATCCTGCTTAGTACTTAGAAATGGCCTTTCAAAGGCATCATGATGGAGAGGTCGATTAATACAAATGGTCCAATTCTGCATAGACTTGCACTTTGTGTAGTCATTTATACAACTGCGCAAAGTGGTTGCAAAGAACTGCTGTAGCGACTTGGTAATATTTTATACAAACTGAGAGTCTTCCTCTCCCCATCACCCCCAGCTTAGTCAAGCTGCTTGAAAGATTTGCTTGAGTTTTGTTTCTAAATACAGATAATAAATTGCAAATAAAAGAAATATATTTCATGTAGGGGTCTTAAAGCACTTTGCATCCAATTATTAAGGATTATATCCAGTCTAAGGGAGAGTTAACTGAGGAATAGAGAATTATGTGTCTTATCTAAGGTGACAGGATGACTTGGTATCAGGGTTGGAGATGCAACCAAGGAATCCTGACTCCTTTTGCTAATTCTAACCTATTCACAAAACGTTTCTCATTATTATGCAGCTATGCAATAAGATATGTAGTAGCATGAATCAGTTAAAAGACAGACACTATTGGGAAAATGAAAACAATATAAAGCAAGCTTTTATTTGCAGGGCCTGCTCCTGTAAGTAAAAGGTAGGCCAGCAAAGAAAAGTTGAATTTCATGCTGCTTTATTTTTTTACTTTGACTTTCTCAGGATTGCTACAATACTAACAGGAGTTTTGTAACCTGTGCTGGGCTACCTGTTATTTACAGGATCAGACCCTGCAATTAAAAACTTGATTATATGAGTTTTCCAGAGACTGTGAGCTCTGTGAAAGATGTGAACTCAGTCTTCAAAGCAAGGATACACCACATATCACCTTCCAAGCTATGTCTGATCCAGAGATGGCACTGCCAGTTTCAAGTGAATCTTTGACTAAAGGACTCACGAACATGACAGTTTTGGGGGTGGGGGTGGGGGTGTGGGATTGTTGATCTGAGATGAAACTCTGGAGAGTATCCAAATAAAGGAAGTAGAGGCCCTGTCTTGCACCACCGGCTCATAGTAATAGTCCTTATTCACCTGAGCAGTTTTGACTGAAATTCGGTGAATAAGGCTATAGGAGCCAGCACAGGATTTGAGGCCAGAATTTCAGTTGGTGAAAATCAGCTTGGCTGCACGGAAATCAGTGGAGCTGTGCCAATTTATACAATGTGAGAATCTGGCTCTCTTTTTACAGAAGCTCTTCAAACACATGGTCAAGCTTAAAGTAAATATGGTCAATCTTAAAATCATGTAGGCAGCCTTAGAAGCTCTTTTCCAGGCAAGCTTCTTTTTTCTTTTCTTTTCTTTTCTTTTCTTTTCTTTTCACAAAACAAACAATAAAGGATATCAGAGCTGTGACAACAGCGTAGGAGGACCCCATGGCAAACGATCCAGCAAAGATCCCTAGGAAATTCCCCACGGATTGGAAGAAAGCAGCAGCATCAAATGCATTAGGATTCTCCTTGGGACTGTAAATTGATATAGAACTGAAAAGAAGACAAGGGGGTGAGGAGATAATGAATTCAATGACACTGCAACAGTACTGGAATCAAGAGTTAAAATAACCATTTTGTAGGGAATAAACAATATTGTAGGGACTCACAATATGAGAGGATGCTTTCATATTTTGTTGAAATACAAAAGTAAAGGAATGAAAATTGGGGGAGAGGGCTTATTTTCAAGGCAATACCTTGAAGTAGTTTGCTGCCCGCCAGTAAACATTTTTATACTAGAAGTGTCATAAAGAATATTGTTTCCAAGCCAACCAAACATTAATACATGGTAGGTGTATAAGGAATCTGCAGGGAAGATAGATAACTTTGAATTATTTATTGGCCATATATCTTCAGAGTTGTTATATATTCAGAAATATTCCTGATAAAAAGTGCAGTTTTATGGCAAAGGCACAAATGGGCGATACAAATCACAGCAGTATGTACCAAATCTTCAGAAGTGATCTTGTCATAAACCACATAGTAGCTCTCTTCTCTGGTGTAACCTTTCGTAAACAGAGCTGAAAGCATGTCAACAGCCGCACAATATGAAACCTCAGGGAAAAACAAAATGAATGTTTTCCCACAGAAAGAAACTTCTGCAGTTGCCAGAGGTCATTTTTTATATCTACTGTCTGACTGTAGCCATCAAGAATGGTATTGTATGGGAAATTATGCTACCAATGGGAAGGCCATATACTTAAACATTTGTGAGGGTATCAGCTTTGCTATTTGCTAATACTGACTGGATGCCCAGAATGCTAATAATGCTGCCAAGTGTGAATGCATTTCTGCTTGTTGTAACATTAAAATTAACAGATGCACAGTAGCCCCAAGCTTCTGAAATACTAACTGAACAACATTTTGGATTTTTGTGGTTCTGTTGCTTTCAACACTGGGGGTCTCTTATGTTTTCTGTCAAAGAAAACCAAGTGAGCTTGGCATTGGATTCTAGAAAGAAGTTTGCATTGCTGGGAAATGATTAGTGTTTTAAACATTAAAAATTCAGGTTTTTTTTTAATTGGGTTGAATATTTTATGCTTATGAATTGTAAATGTATCATCTCTACAAACTGTTATCTGACATCCAGAGATCAGATGGAAGAGATTCTCTATTTTTAGAAGCATTGCATTCATTTATATATCTCCAAATATTAAGCAAATACCTGAAAATAGACCAATCTCTTTCAGATCTGAGCATTTGGGTAGCCAAGGATGTATAGAAAGGGAAGGGAACACAAAAATAAGAGTACAGTCTGAAAAAGTACCAGATTCTCTGACAAATTCAGCACTTTTTGGAATCCTAAAGTCTTTTCTGTTTATTTAAGCATGCATAACATGCCCATCACAATGACCATTGGCAGCAAGAGATTATACAGGAAACAGATAGTGATATATGTGTTGGGAGTGCTGTGCATATAGTAATTGAGGCTCACAGCATTCTAGTGATGCAGTTAAGTAAAAATGACAATCCCAGAGCCAAAATCTAATATCAATAGTCAGGCTGTTCACTTTACTTCAAAAATAGTTAAATTCAGAGGCATGATTTGTCAGAAGGCAAGTAAGTTGAGTAAGTTTAGCAGACTCTGGCTCTAAAACATTATGTTTAATAAAAAGGCCAACTTCCAATCACTATTTGGCTTTTGACATTTCCAATTAGCTCTCAACCTCTGGCTATTTGATGCCAGAAAGCAGACAGAGGGACTACTTCTCTTGCTTTCTTTTATTTTGTGAACAATTCTCACCTTTGGTCCGTCTAACTGCTGAGATAGTATCCACAATAACAACAGTGATTATAATAAAACTGTGACACTATCATTCTTGAAGTGAGAGAAAAGGGACATTTATGAATGGAGATCTTATCAGCTGTCATAATGTAAGTCAACAAACACATTTGGTAATCATTTTTTGTATATCTAAAAATGATTTTAGTTTGGTTGGTTATGTGTTGAAGGAGGCATTCAATTAACCAGAAATATTATAGTTAACATTTTCTGTCTCTTTTAGACAACAGAAGAACCCCATTTTTATCCATTATTTATCTCAAGTCAGTAAAAATAGACTGCAGCTTCCCACAGCTGTTGCTTAGTTAATTATGAATAAGAAATTGATCTTTTATGTCACTAAGTTTTCAGTGGTGAATTCAACCAGATCAATCTGGCAACTAGCTTGAGATCATCAAGGAAAGATAATGCAATATATATAAAGCTGCCCAGCACAAAGAATACCTGATGTTAAAAGCCATGAGAACTGTATGAAAAAAAAAACCTGATATAGGAGGAGATTGTAGCAACCAAACTTTATTTATAACCATTCAGATTTTGTATGAATCATGCAGGCCTCATGACACAAAAAAAGAGCAACTTTGTTTAAAATAATGTACAAAGAATATTAAGGTTTTGTCATAAATTAAATGAGAATTAACATGGGGGAGAGGAAAACTCATCTTTGTTATTTTAGAGAGATCCAATAAAATTCAGTAGTACCCAGAAAGAGAAGCAGTTCTGTTTTTCTTTATGGTAAAAGGATAGACACAGAAAGCCTATCACAAACTCAGAGAAACAAAACACATTCCCATGCTTGGGTTATCTTTATCACTGAAATGGAAACAAGCCTTTGAGATCAATAATATTAGGTCCTAATGACATTGCCCAAGAAATGTGTGCTTGCGATTATTTCAGGCAAGAATTCCTTGCCAAATACTTTTGTGGGCCTGGAGTGTTCACAATCAAATAGGTTTTATAAATGTGCTGCTTTGTTAAACATTTTCTTTGCCACTATATATTTTTATACATAACAAATGGAGCTCTTGTGACCAAAATCACTGTATCTTCTTTGTGACTGCTCATTCCAAGACTCTAGTACAGTGTTTCTCAATTTTTTTTTTCATTCAAGGCACTCCCCATTGGACTCAAGGCACCTCTTCATAACTTTTGTGAATTGAGTGGCACCAATTTCAAAAACTAATTTATATACTGTATTGCATTGTTTACCTCCTTGCAGAGGGGATGGGCAGTGGGGGTGGGGCATTGGCTAGGCAGGGACAAGCCTGAGCCTGATCTTATTTCCTCAGACCTTGTGAAACGCTCCAAAGGATCTGGTTGCATCTCAGGATTCCACTACCACATCATTGAGAATCACCGCTCTAGAAAATAGATGTTGGCTGCTAAACAATGCAAGATTCAGATTCCCAGGCTTACTGACATCTTGTAAAGGTCCATTTCTTTACTGTATTTCACTGCCAGGAATATTTTTTTTTCTGATATTCTTTCTAAATATTCCATTACTTAAGCCACTAAATGGTTCATTTCTCCCTTTAAGATTTACAACCTTGCCACGTAGTGTAGAGTTATCATATAAATTGAAGGCATTGTTAAGGCAACTTCTTTGTGTTTAACTGTTTTACCATTTCCCGATAAACAAGTCACTGTGGACTAAGATGCTGCAAAGTGAACATTGTATCCTGAGTGAGTTTATTCACTGACAAAAATAAAGTAATTATAGCTTCATTGGGCAATAACACTTTCTGCACTATATAATGCCAAACCACATGGGCTTTTTAGCCATCATAGCACATGTAGGGAGCTACATGCAGGCTACACATCTCTAGGGTGCCAGTGCAGCTGCTGGCATGAGGAAGCAGGTGTGAGCCAACTCCAGACTTGGGACAGTTGACAAGGATAATTAGTTGGCCCATGGGAATTAAAAAGCTCCCAGACAACACAACAGGAGACACTGAGTGAGGGAGAGAAAGGAACACCATGCCAGGGTGTCTCCTTTCCAGGATTGGCAGAAGGACTAACGGAAGGAGAAGCCAGAGGCCTGTGAGGCTGGAGGTGGCAGCCCAAGCCACGAGATTCTTCCCGGGTCCAAGGGAAATTAAGAAACTGGGAGTGCTGGAGCGAAACTGACTGAGAGCAAAGAGGCTGGAGTTCATGGTGGCAGCACCAAGCCCAGGCACTCTAGCTGGTTTAGAAAAGACTGCAGAGGGTCAGATAACCCTTCTGATTTGTGTCTTTACTTTACTGTTTGCTTATGTGATTCCAGCTGGAAGGGAATTTTCCCCAGGGAAATAGGGACAGTAAACAGAGCTAAATCTGATTTCCCAACCTGCTACACATGGTGGATAATACACATAATTTAAAGCAGACTCCAGCAGCATGTGAAAGTGAATTTAGCCACAGAGGCACCACAAGGAAAAGCAGTGTGCAGCTGTTAAAGTGACAGGGCAAGAAGTGAAAACTATGGAGGAAGCATAGCTAATACAGTTCTTGACCCAGTAGCAAGTTGCTGCTAGTGAGAAAGCCCAGAAATGGAAGGTGAAAGTTCATCAGATGATGAATCTGCAACTTCAACAGGCTGATGCTCAGGATATTGCCAGCCATGACTTGTTGGAAAAGGCCATATTGATGTTCTAGCATCTAAATATAGAGGACAGAAAGCTTCAGAGGCAAATCACAGAAGCAAGTGCAGCAGAGGTTGGTCAAGCACCTATCCACCCAGGGGTCAGAATACCCTAGAGCCAGGAGTAAAGCAGTGGTAGAGGCTGATCACACAGGGAATCTGGAGTGAACTTTTAAAGGCATAGCTCCTTGCAGATGAGGTGGGTGGATGTTCAGACCATCTACATTGGGAACTGGAGGTTGAATGCCGAAGCCATGAGCAAGCTGAGGCTGAAGGGGCTTCCTTGAAGCAACAGATACAGATGGGAAGCAAAGAAGGCAAAATCTAGGAACTGAGATGCCTGTTGGCAGCTGAAGCAGAAAGAAGCAAAGATATAAAACAGCTAATTGAGGCAGAGTTGGAATGGGGCCAAAAGCAGGAGGAAAAGCTGAGAGCACTACAAGAGAAAGTGACCTCTGCTACTTCTAAAACTGGGGAAAAGGACTTTGCCAGAAGAACTGAAGGTGCTAACAATTTGAGAGAGGTAGAAAATCAGAAGACCACCATAACAGCCCTAAAGAAACAGGTGGACATGCAAAATAAGCACCAGTA